ATGGTTATAACTGCGCAGAGCCAGCAACCTCAATCGCGAAAACCTGCAAACAGTTTAGCGGCCAGGGTCTGTCAACCCCGGCGACCCCAATCTTGCTGAGAGTGGTTTCTCCCGGGGTGCCTGCCTCACATGATACTCTATTACGTTTGGGTTTATTTAACACTACCGAAAGTTTGACAACTTACAACCATTCGTCGTTGCATGCGGACCCAGGACAAGGTTAGCTGGTGTGTTTGCAACTACTCCACTGAATGTTAGCGATGACACGAATACCAAAGCGTCTCTAAGAGGACCGCCCATCACGCCGCCAATAAAAGGCAGCACTCTCTTATCCAAAGTTACGAACAATAGTTAGACGCATAATTCCATGATGATAATATACTCCAATATACCTCTGAACCAAAGGCCAACTATATCAAAGATAAACTACTTGACGACCTAAAACACTGGGAAACCATATGCCAACCATTGGGAATCCAGGCTAAACAGGCTGGTTTGTTTTACATCGTCCGCCACACAAACTCAGTTCTCTGTGTCGAGCCAAGGCTACTTCAGGTGACGAAGCGGAGACCGCCCTCTTGTCAGCTCATCGACTTCGTGATTCGTCATGCGACGTTCGTGTATTCCCTGACATCCTTTGGATTGAATGTCGGTAAAGGAAGCAAGACTCAGAATAATGCCATAAGCAAACCAACGAAAACTCGATATTTATCCATGTGTGTTCTCAAAATCCAGTCTTCTGACGACTAGCAGGCCCAAACCCATGATTTGGAATAGTGGCGATACAACCGCGAATCTTTCTCCACGATGTTATTGCCAACTCAACGTAAAGACAACCCACATCACCCAGCTACAAAGGAAGAGGTTCAAGAGTCTTGAAATTCCTCCTCTACTTCAAGCGAATGATTGAAAGAGTGCTTGGAAGTGGGCACAAGTTAGGCCCAAACATGTATCAGGGATACGTCTGAAAGCGGCCGAAGCCAGACCACTACTGACTGAGGGAAAACATAACCAGCGAGAAGTTGTCGCCAGCCCAGATGTCTGCATTTTGGAACAGAAGCGCAGTGCAACTCTCCAGCCGTCCGAAGAGAAAGCAACAAACAATCGGTTGCAATTCGCCTCTGTACGATTAGGTAGTGGGTGCTCTAAACAACAGATTGAAACGACCCTGGGGTAGGCAAGAAATATATCCAAAAAACGATTGTCAGAAGACCCCACAAGGGTCGTCGTAAATTCACGGGAAACTTATGTGTGTTCATCCGTTTCTTTTAGTTGTTTTTTATACAAACGCGCAAGGTCTTCTCAGCAAATTGGCTGAGCTTCGATTTCCTCAATATCTTGGGACTGCATCATGGTAACCGAGACATGGCTGAACGACGTGATTACCGACGTCGAGACCGCACTATCTGGTATGTCACTTGCGCAACGACCAACCCATAATGGGAGGCGGTGTTATCCTTTACTACCGGTCCGACCCTCTCATCGACCGGGTGATTAACCCTGGGATTCAAACCATTAACGCCTTACAGTGTTGCTTTCACCTGAGGCAGGGCGATATATGTTAAATTTTCATTATATACCGTCCACCAATGTCCACTACAGAAATAGACGAGGCCTTCGCTTCTGATATGAAGAATCTACTGCGACGATCTTGCAGCCACGTTCTCTTGGTAGGTGACTTCAATCTGCACGGTCTAGAATCCCCGGCCACTCTGGGTGAACAATACAAGGCGGAACTACAAGAGCTAATCACCAGTTCTTCGCTGCACAACCATGCAACTTCTCCAACACATTTCAAGGCAGGATGCAAACCGGCTATATTGGATCTCAATTTTCCAAACAAGCAATTCATGATCGATGTAGTAACAACGTGCACTCCTTTGGGTCACAGCGATTATGCGACACTAGTGTTCCAATACTTGTGCTAGGGGCAGTGTATGCTAAAGAACATACCGAGGAATCTTACGTCTTAACCAACTATGGAACCTATCCAGACCCATTGGCGCAACATGCTGGTCTTTCCTAGCCGAATGGTCTCCTGAGGTGGCATGTGAGGAATTTGTCAACAGATTTAACTGGCTCGTCGCATGCATATCTGAAAGCAAAATCTACCAACCAAAAAAGACGAACTCGTTTCTAAAGAGCGGGACTCGGGAATGCATGTCATTAAAGCACTTGGCATGGCTGGCCCACAACCTCTTCGAGCTAGGACAATTGGGACGTCCATAAAACACAAAGGAACCACTGGGTCAAACTCGTCCTGCAGGATAAAGTAAGGAACCAACAAGACCTTGTGGTGAACTATGCCTCTAACCCCAAGCTTCTATACAAACACGTAAACAAACTTTACAGGGTTAAGCACGGAATTCCTGCTCTGCACACAGCATGCGGGTTGGCACAAACGTCACAAGATGCGGTGAACCTTCTCAGAAAACAATTTGCCTGTACCTTCTAAAGTGTGCAATCATCTTGCACCATGCCTACACTGTAAGGCCTTAACCACATATCTTTTACAACCACAGCTGTACTGAAACGGCTGATGTACTGGCGCGAATGTAGCGCCACGGGTTCGGACGGCATTCGCTCCAATGCGTTGAAAGTTGGTGCCATGAGTTTAGCTGAACCGTTAGCAATACTGTTTCAGCGATGTATCAACGGGATGCACATCCCCAGCGTGTGGAAGTACGGGAGCACCGTCCCCATCTACAAAAGTGGTAAACGTACAGAACCAGCAGATTATCGCCATACAACACTTCTTCCGGTGATCTCCAAGATCATGTAGTTCATTATAGGTCAGTTGCTCATGGAGTAAAGTAAATCGCTAGCTGTACGCCGTAACGGCGCTTCACTGCCACGCGACCACCACCAGTCTCGCGTGGGCTGAGCATACCGCGAAGACGCCCACCCCTACGCGGTTTCGAGCCGGTGACCTTATGGTTGCAAACCAGCCAAACCAGCACTTTGGCCTACTTCGTAGATCGTTCGGGAAGTTTAACGCCGCAATCTTTTCGAAAAATGCTTGGTGCTTACTTGGGGCCGCACGCAGGATGCGTTATCCAAGCGTGATATACCTAGCAAAAGCACCATCTCACCACGCTCGATACTGCACAACATAGGGCAACAAAGAACGTCAGAGGTTTTTTCTGCGTCCCCTACCCACTCAGACTGAAAACTCCCCAACTGTACAGCGGTTGTTATCGATGTCTACGGAGAGATCTCATAATGGTGTATCAGATCCTGAGAAACTCCAATCAAACATGCCACTCTCTTTTGAAACAGTCAAAACACATCTTTAAGGGATCACCACTTTAAGTTCGCCGCGCAGTACAGCCGACTGGAACGTCCATGCAAAGTTTTCTCCCTCCGAGTGTCACAAACCTTGGACGCTCTTCCGGTGGAAGCAATAAATGTGCCCATCTTATCGTTTTTCAAAAAACGCCCTGACGATACTCTTACACAGTTACACCGGGTGACAGCCCATGACCATCAGATGATGGCACTGATACACAACAAACAGTGAACGGTATCAGACACATGTGGTGCTCTAAATCTGTTGGTGAGTCATGTATCTCAAGCGATCTTTCACTGACACCGTATATTTGTAATTTTTTTAATTTTCACCTTACCATCCTACGGGACATGTCAATCATTCGCTTTTATATCCATCATTAACCATTGCTCTCTATCCCGCCTATGTTCCTCCTACAACCACGACCTCTCTTGACGCATAATATGTCACTAAGCAGTGTTGCCCGCTTTTAGCATTGTATACTTTTCAGTATATTGTTTTTTGTATGTCCTATGTTTATGTATTGCGGCACCATATTTGAAGTTTTTTCTCTCCTTTAGCTACTGTGTAATGATGAGGATGATGCGATTATTCCAATGCATGTTACTGAGTCAAGTAAAGTCAATTTATGCTCTCTGTACCCGAATGGATAAATTTTCGCACTTCACAATATCAACCATGGGTGTTGCTCGCTCGAAAACGCTGCGGGCAATACCCCATTTCTATTTGCATCAGCTACGGGCCTCGTGATCGAAAGATCTAGCTTCACTTCATTGGGAATTGCGGTCAGCCTTGAGATTGCGCGTCGCAATCCATCCACACAACGTGTACTTCAAAATGACCCTCAACATCAACTATCGGTGTTTAAAACAACATCATCAAAAGTGGAGAATTTCACAATTGGAAAAAGACATTGTAGTACATGTGTTACTCAGATAAACAGCCCCGATTCTAAATCCTCTTAACAGTCCAGTGTTGTAGCCAGTTTTTTCGATCCGGAAGAAGATTCTTTAGGTTACTAACGCTTTCTGATAACTCCATTCAATACTCGCAGGATGTTAAAGTTCATTTTCAACTATTGATGAAGGACGGTCTTAATGACGTTGTAACTAGTCTAACTGAAGGAAATGTCAAAAACTTCGGTGAACACTGATAGATCCGCAGCAGATAAAGTAACCGCGACATTCCAGTGAAAACGCAACGTCCACTTTAAAGGCCGCACCACAATGAGTCTGAAGGGAGGTAATCGAACCTATTTGTTCGATTTTAATTTGCCACTTCAGTTTTTTCCTGAGACCGACCATTTATAGCAGCAGGTATCAAAACTTTTTCATGGTCCTATTTAATTCTAAGCCTTCACAAGCTACTTATTGGTCTACTGAACATACTATCTGTCTCTTGTGTGTACTCAAAGTTTATCTTCATTTTCTCTCCCTAAACTATGTCAAAGTTTCGTCTTACGGCATCTTCACTCCTCCTTATCTACCTGGCAAACGTTAGCAGCAGTACGACAAGCAACCGTTAAGTCGAAAAACCGGGAATAGTCTAATGCTTTCATTTTCTTAGTGTTGTTTGTTCTTAATTGTTGTTGTTCTTAATTTTTAAGTAGTTTCGCTGCATCAATGATAAGACTGAAAATGAACCTATCCGGAAACTTAACACCCATTAAACTTGATTTGGTAATAATCACTATTGTGGTTTTCCGTTTCAGCACTTTTGGCCATCATCTGAGAACACTCAACAACTGGAAATTGGCGCTTTTACAATCTCTCCTATCGCCTTCCAACTTGATCCACTTGAGACCACAGCCCTGAACGTCTGGTTCCGTCCGTTTGAGGTTGGCAGGCAAATAGTCAAATGTGTACTGGTTTGCGACCACGGAAAAAACGACGAACTAGTAGTTGAAGGTAGTCCAGTCGAACTCTTCTGTGTACACCACTTTTGCCCCGTAACACTTTCGTACTTCGTATCTGGCTTCTTTTGCCATCGAATAGTGTTAATCAACTGGTCGTTCAATTAACCCATTTCCTTTTAGGGTTTTTAATACCTTTTAAAGTAATAGTTAGGTCAATGAATTAGGGTAATATTTTTTTCCGACGATTTCAGAAACAACCTTCTTGCTTTTCTGCAATTATTATAACCGATCAAGTATGTTTTAATTAAATCGATGCTCAAATCGCATTTTGAAAGCTGTCCTTACGAAAGTAGACCAGCAGAAAATTGGGTTAAGAGCTGTTTGATGTAGACCTAATTCGATCGTCCGACATTTTGTAATCTCCATGGACGCTGCTGCATACGCGAACTGCTCATTCTAAGCTGTCAGTCAACTTCGCCTGATACAGTTTTACATCGGTCACTACCGTCTCCGTTAGCTCAATGGTCTAAACCGCAGATTGGTAACCATCGAGTTGCGGGTCATAGCCCTACATGCGTCAGATGGAATGCGCACTGTTGACGATTTCAGAAGGGGGTGGAACAGCCGTACTGTGCTCCTCCGGCTGCGTGATGGCTGTCAGACTGATGCATTTGATCTGATGCATTTCTTCCTGTACTGTTTTAAAAACTGGATGCTATGTACAGTTTCTCACTATAGCTTTCTCCCATTTGTAACAGTATTTAGCTTCGAAGAAAAAGTGAGAGAATTCTCAACTAATGATTCCCTGGCTGTCTAAGTGCCGGGATCCTTTTGCCTCCCAGTGAGGCTACACCAAATGAGACCGAATCATGTTATCTTACTTAATTTCGAAGGTCCCACTTTATCTGCTACCTATGCATGATAGTAATACCACGAGGGTTCAAAGCTGAAGTCGAAGACAGAACGGTTTGCGTGTGTTTTCCTAGCTTTTAGCTGTAACCCTATTGCCAAATTTATCGCATTAAATAAGCGAAAGGTAAACCCGTAATTCTGAACGCAATTTTCGTTAATAAAACTTTTGACATCATCACATCATCAGGAGGCTGGTATACTAAATGTCAAACTACTGTATTCTTGTTGCTTCAAATTGAATTCTGCTCGCTGGACATCATATACAAACCATATCACTGAAGACAAAATCCATGCACCAACGAGGTTGACTTTTTCCTGTGTTCACTTTCGACCACCATGATTCTAATTTTCTTTACCTTGAGCAATTCTTTTTAACATCGTATGAAGTTTGGGCAAATCATGTTTGCTTATCCGGCCACTGGATAAACACCTTCACTCTGACAGTTTTACAGATGTAGTTCCACGCATTGTTAGTCTAGTAGATGTGTAGAGGCTGTTTTAGGCTCTGGAATTTATTAGTTCTTAACCGGCTAACTTGGTGAAATATATTCCTCGCCTGTCCCCATACCACTGCGATGGAGGATGCGTCACATGCTGCTCAGAAGCAGCATCACAGCGTACAACCTGTGTACTCGAGCTCAGATGAGACATGTAGTCCCTACATCATTGCAGGACGCTACACCCACCTAGACTGAGGAAATGGCTATAGAATACATCCATGTGATCAGCGCCTTCTGAAGTTTGCTTCTATTAATTAAGGACTAACACATGTTTGGCCAACGAAGTAAACGAAAAGCAGTCGTGATATAAATCCTCGTTAACTTTGGGGATTTACCGCACATACTCCTCCGTTTTCGTCCAGTTTTGGTAGCACAACTGGGTATGAACACATCTACGAATTGCAGACAGTGGCAATGAAATAGGTATGTTAGCTATATTCTACAATCTTTAAAGATGACGAAATTATACATCTTGTCATTACCGAAGACTTATTTTAAAGATAACGCTCGAAAGCGTCATCCGTCACGGCCTGACATTTGGTAAACAAAAACAGAGATTACATGTACATTAACTATTAAAATCATTTAACACAAATGGGGGTTGAATGCAACTAAGAAGTTTCAATATTTCCTCATCACTGCTTGCGCAGGAATCGGAGAAGAGATGGCTATCCTTGTGAAGTCGATCGACGGTCTAGATGCAGACAGTGACTTGAAGGTTTTTCGACGCACTGCCCACACTCCTTCTTTTATCTCCTACCTGTACCAATTGCCTACGCAATATCCTCATACGGTGTCATCAAGGAGACTTGTGATTCAAAACTTATGGTAAGACATTATTTACAGTAGGCTGTACTTACGATCTGAGGACAGTTATTGTTCTTTTAGCATTATTGTTCGTCTTGGTAAGAAGTAGAACATCGCTGTGCTATCCGACTTTCATGAGATTTGGTGTGGCCACGGCAACCCATTCGTTAACCGCTCATCCTGTATTCTTCATGTATTCGGCCGTCAAGTTAGCCGTCTACTTCACGGCAGACAATTTTCCATTGCGATGATCGGTTCCATCCGGAACAATGGTATAATATGGGTAAAAATAAGCTCAGACTTGTCAAGTCTCGTAGGATGGTTTGCGTGAAATGCATAAGTTCAAAGATAAACTTTGTTAACTAGATAAAACGTGATCTGTAGACCCGCCATAATTTTCACATTAACACACAATTTCGTGGTGGTTTTTTTGTCTCCGGGTTTCACATTTTGCACTCACCATATGAACGCGGATTGCATCACTCAAGGTAAATCGCGTAATGCATACACGAATTGTTCTTCAATTATGTCGGCATAAATGACAAAATTCGGAAAAGCGTTCCATAGATGACAAATTCGGAAGGAAACTTTCCGGCGACCTTCCAGATGGCTGTGCTGCGCGACTACATTCAGATGGGGGTCTCTTAGTTTGTTGTTACCGCTGAGCTTCAGGAGTCGGAAACAAACAAGGCTAACGTTTTTTTGAAATTTGATAGGTCGTCATGAAGTCACTCCGAGGACAAAGGTACCTTTCATTTTGCTTATCAAATGAAATACGCCCTTTGTGTTTTTACTTTCCCTGCGCTGTGAGCTTTTGGTTGTCGGATATACTGTCCGTAGCACGTACTCTGTCTTCTACCCCTTTTATACGTGCTGACATACGTACTACTTGAGCGAGTCATAGCATTTGGAAACGGAAGTTAACATGTCTATGGCAAATGTTCCACCGGTCTTCTGGTCCTGTTCTACCCACTTACTTTGGACACATGGAATCGATGGCCTAAAAATCTGTATTAATTAGTTGGAACTGCTTCCAGTCTTGGATCCAGCAGTATCACTTACGTGGAGAGCATAATGTGGTGCTGCCACAACTCTAATTCCATGTTTCCTCAGTGTAGTGGTGGTTAACAGATTGTATAAGCCAAACCGACTTGAGGCCAATAAACAGGAAGCTAACCAAGCACGGCCCCTACAGTTTGACGACAATTGCGTGGGTCGAGTAGGTAGTCCGGAATTGAGTCAAGATATTTTTAGCAAAGCGAGCGAACCGCGCGCATCCATCAGTGACCCTGAGCCGACAGCGTACAAAACGATGGTGCCTGTCAACTGGGCGAACGGAACAAACATGAACCTAACGGGCAGAAAGCCGATCAGGGTCGGCCGGCGCAACCTGATCGCATTTGCACGGGTTTGGCGAACAATTCAGAACTTGGTTGGAGTATTTAAACAAATGTAGAGCAAATTTACAGAGAGCGAACGGCGATTGCGAACCAATAAACACGAGCAGATGCATGAGAAGAAGTAGCCAATAAAAGGCTCTACATTAAACTAGTGATTCCAATCTGCATACAATATAAACTAACTCTCAACCCTACTAAAAATAGAATTACAATGATCGGTATGACATCGTTTTGACTCTGGAAAAGCTACCACGACACTGCTTTAATAACAATTCGTGTAAATCAACCTTAAGCGTAGGTCCCTCGACTTCAGAAAGTGCTGCAGATAGTCTATCTGGCCCTGCAACCCTATTCAACTTTAAAGGCACAATCCCACTCTCTCCTTTTGCACCAGATGATAGGTCAACAGCGAAAGCCATTATGCGACCAACGACCGGCAAGGGAGCTGACAATGCTGGTCAATTAAATTGCTTTTTAAAGTATTCAGTCCAATATATAACTCTCTCGCAGGTCGCAAATAAGCTGTCTTATCTAGTCACATAGTTTCGAGTGCATCGGTTCTCCCGTTACCCGTTTCCATGTGAGACGGGATTAATTTGGATGGTCAAAAGAATAACAACCGTCCCGCTCTTCGATGTATGGTGAGGCTACCAAAATTCCCGGTCTCTTTTAGGCTAGCACATAATATTGTCCTGAGATCGTTTCAGGTCTGGTCGTCCTTTTTACCGCCGGAATATACCAGAGACTGTGTAGAGACACACTGCTCAGCCTCGTACCTGAATTTCCCACGCGAATACATACCTACTACCAGTAACGTCTGGTGAACCTACGACCAGCGACCTACAACTGTGTTCAATGCGGGTTTATTTGGACCGAATGCAACCGACTTTTAGTACGCCCTTAAAAATTCTAGCTTCGCCAGCCGACAAATATCTGTGCGCTAGGAGCTTATTTTTGAACGTCCGCTCAAATCCACTCACAAATTAGTACATCAGTGATGTCAATACCGGCGATAAGAGTAGTTACAGTATCAAAAGTATGGAAGTCTGGTGGCATCAGATGCAGGAGTAGTGTGTTAAAATAACTGGGAATATCTACGAAACAACCGCGCTCAAACGGGATCATGGGTGAGCTGCATTGCATCCATAAAAGATACATCCGTTTACCCAATTCCTAGTGTAATGTAGGAGGGATAACCTACCCGGCAAGCAGCTGGATGCCGGAATTGAAACGGAGCCAACACCAACTCTGTTAATTCCCATACCACGGACGCAAATTTCAGTGAAACAGCTACATACCAAATACAGATAGAGCGGTTGCTATGGTCTCACCCGTACCATTCGCAAGCACTCTATGTGACTGGGCACTATCCCGACATAACAACGCTTAGCAGTGTCCTAGACACTATAATCGAGGTGGCCCTTTTGGATGGGTAAACACCATTTCGACGGGAATATCAAGCGTTAGCTGTCCTGACATTTCACGCCGGAATTCATGTCCAGCACGTGACGACAAACCTTCACTCAGCAAGCATAGTCTAACTACTGTGATACGGAATTGTGCCGCGGCAGCCGCGATGGTGGTGCAGTTAGGAAGTGAGATGAGAACTGACTACCTAGATACGCTGCGAATTAACCAATTAACTTACTATTCGTCCTGTGAGGAGTCAGCCGGTGGCCAAATCGTGAGTGTCTTGTGACCATAGGATCATCGCTCCGAATTCGCGTATGTGTGTGGGGGGTGGGGGTGGACTCGCTGTATCCCGAGCTCTTGATCAGCTTGTGGTGGTCGCGTGGCAGTGAAGCGTTGATACGAAGTGTCCATATGCTACTGAAGTACCTTTTCCTCCTTGTGAGGACAATGAACAATGATTTATCACGGGATAAAAGCAAGTGCTTGACACGTCCCGTAGGATGGTTGAGGTGAATATAATGAAATCAAAATATGTCTGGGTCATCTATCGAACGTCTGCCGAGATGAATAGTTTGATAAGTAACATCAGTGTAAAATTAAAAATTAGCGAGCGTAAACATTCAGAAAGACACTGGGGTGCCGTGATCATTGAGGCAAAGAGTAAGAAAAGTAAAATATGGTCGCTCAATTAGGTCCATTTGATACATAAATCCTGTTGAAATGCATCCTTGGCGTAATCCACAGTAGGGGAGTTTAGGTAACAAAATGTTGGGAGCTAAGAGCAACATCTAATAGTTTTTTGAAAACATCCAAGGTAGGAGAGGATACTACAGAGTCTGGGAGTGCGTTCCACGGTTTGCAAACCCGAAGGGAAAAGTAATTCCGTCGACACTCTAGACGGCTGTATTGTTCCTTCAACTTTAAGCAGTTACCCCTAAGTTGCGCATTGTGGCTAAGTTCCAGCAAATGGCTGCATACGTGATTGGGGTCACTCAATATTTGATACGCTAATATGCGATCACCGCGCAGTCTTCGATAGCGTCCGCTGAAAATTCCCAGCAACTTCAGCCTTCGGTGGTAAGAGTGATAGCGCAGGCCCTTTACATTCTTTGTTGCTCTTCGTTGTGGTGCCTCTATCGCTTCTAGGTCACGCTTCAACCAAGGTTGCCAAGCTTGGATAGCGTATTCAACATGCGGGCGCACGTAGGCATTGTGCATCATTGGGAAGATTGATAGGTCAAATCTCCCGAATGCCCTTCGCAGCATGCCGACATGCTGGTTGCCTCTTTTCGCAGCTTCCTCAGACTGTTTTGAACAGTTGAGGTCGCTCTGTACGATCACACCCAGGTCACGTTCCTGGGAGCTATTCTGCACTCCGTTGGTCCCAAGTGAATAGGTGTAGTTATGACTATGGCGTAATTGTACGACGCGACATTTGTCTACATTGAACGGTAGGACGTTTTGAAGTGACCAGTTCGACACTGTGTTAAGATCGCACTGGAGCCGTTCATGGTCGTCCGGTCCTCTGATCCTTCGCCATATCTTGATATCATCAGCGAAAAATAGGAAATCGGAAGTAATTGATCTCGCCAAATCGTTAATGAACACCAAGGATAGATGAGGTCCAAGAACCGAGCCTTATGGTACTCCACACGCCACATCGATTGCATGAGAACATGATTCTCGGACTCTCACCACTAGCCGTCGTTCTTGTAGAAAATTGTCAATCCAACTCAGGATTGGATCGCCAATGCCGTAATTCCGAAGCTTGTGAAGGAGAATGCGATGGTTTAAGCGGTCAAATGCTTTTGAAAAGTCCAGGTAGATGACATCGACCCCTACGCCATCCTCAACAGCTTCTGTCCAGCTATTACGTGCAATTAATAGGTTAGGATTACACGAATGCTTTTGACGAAAGCCATGTTGCTCTGGGGTTATTAAATTGTGGCTTTCCAGATACTGCATCAGCGCATCGGCGATGAATGATTCCATCACTTTGGATAGTACGGGAAGTAGTGTTATTGGATGGTAGTTGGCAGGATCAGTGCGTCTACCTCCTTTATGAATAGGAGTGATGACCCCTCGCTTCCATACTGGTGGAATACGGTTCTCCTCTAGACATCGCTGATAGAAAATAGCCAGTGGTGCTGCTAGATCACTAGCTACTGCCTGTAGAGCCTTTGGTCGGATGTTGTCAGCACCGGGAGAACTGTGGATACGCAAGCATAACAACTTCTTCAACACAGCTTCCGCAGAGAAGGTGAAGTTTTCTAAACCAGATGGTGGAGTAGTAGATATGAGGAGAATGTTTGTGCTCGTTAGCTCCTGGAAATTTCGGGAGTAATGAAGCCGTAGGAGATCAGCTGCTTCCATTGCTGATCGCGTGCACCCATCAGCCGTGACTAGTGCTGGAACCCCTCGCTTTACCCTTCGAAGGCCGTTAACGTGCCTGTACAGGAGTTTGCGGTTAGTGCAGAATCGCTTCATTAACTTCTGCTGATGAGTGACCTTGTCTTCGCGGAGCAGTTTCACACAGAAGTTACGATGTGTCACGTATGCAGTCCAGGTTTCGGCATTCGGGCAGCCCTGGTGATCTCGCTATGCCAAATCCCTCCGGGACATACATTTACATGTCCTGCTCCTCAGAAATGAATTACACTTGTTTTTAGGTTGGAAGGACTTCTGCTCTGATGCGTGCGCTACCAGTGTACTAAACGTCCTTGTAAATGTTTCCCAGGCAACATCTGGGGGGCATTCGGTTAAGAAAGTCCAAGATGTATCCTTAACAAGCTTAGACAGCACATTGTAGTGCGTGACAATATGCACTTTATCCTCCTCCTTTTCAGGGTACTCCACATAGCAAATATAAGCAAAGAATAGAGTAACATGATCACTACGATCCAGTGATGTGCTTGTAACTATCCCGCTAACCATGGGTTCTTCGTTAGTGAGCACAAGATCCAGTATCGACGGCTTGTTAGCAGTTCGAAATCTGGTGGGAGAGGTTACGTGGTTGTAAAGAGGGTGGCTAGCAGTAAGTTCTTGCAAGCAGGCTTTAAACTGCGTACCGTCGGTTGCTGGCGTTTCTATGTCATGCACGTTAAAGTCTCCCGCGATAAGAATGTGGGTGTAGGACTTGTTCAAAGCAAACTGGAAAACGTGGTTCAGTTTGGAGTCCATTTCCGAAGTTGAGTTTGGTGGGCGATAAATCACGGCTAGTAGGCATGTGTCCTTGTTTCACAACCATAGGCGGCACCAAAGCGAATCGGGAGCTCGGATTTCCGGGTGATCGATAACTTCACATCGAAGGTCTGTATTATAATAAAGAATCACACCGCCCCCCTTCCGGTTCTATCGGTCCGAAGCAGTGACATACCGGGTAAATTGATCTCAGAATCGGTCACCTCAGGGTTTAACCATGTCTCTGTAATCATGACTAGGTCCCGCGGTTGTGAGGCATGGAGTTCTCTAAGTTCTGCTAACTCGCTTAGAAGGCCTTGGGCGTTTGTATACATGCAAGATAGGGCTTTTGTTGTTAGGAGTTCATTGGTGGATGTCAAGTTTGTGTTCGCTTTTAAGCCGGCCGTTAGGTAGCCGGCTATTAATCGGTGCAGCTTCGGTGCAGCTCTGTTCCAGCCCTGCCTTTCACGGCCGGCTTAGTCCTAAGCTAGACCCTTCAGATATAGATAGTTCGAAGTGATAGTGGAACCCGTCACAGAGTGATTATCACTTACGCCTTGGTCACTTAACTAATGAGCTCTGCGATCAGTGATTGACACAATAATTATCGGCCCTGGTAATGGAAATAGTGGAGTTTTACTTAACCTTAATCATGACCCAATTAAGACTGCATATTGTGAGCCAGACACACTGCGAGTACTTCAAAACTAAACACTTACACTTCAACTTTTTCACATGGACTCTTCATGCTCACTTGTTAACTCTACTATGCTGAATCGACGGAGGTGCACACTTCTGCACTCACACCATCACAACAGGTATGATGACGAAGGACTAACCACAACCAGTGATGCTCATTTGTGCATCAAAACTGTTGGTCCCCAATACCGTGGCTCATTTTTTGCAAATGGATGACAACGACCTTGGTTTGCACACATTGTAACGTAAGCATCAGGCGATGAATAAGTGAACTGGAGCAGCTGTTGACGGCGCGGCTCATGTGTCCCATTTGTCTGTATTCATTTGGCAATCTGGTAGCTGTTTCCCCACTTTGATCGAACCCGTTCTGAGGACAAGATCAAGCACCCTGTGGTCCCTTGGAAGCAGCAACTTCAGTCTACGCATTTGTAACTCTAAGTAGACTTCGCTGTTCAACCCACTGTTTCACCTGTGCACGCGCAAAATCCGGCGCAAGCAAAAGTGATAAAACTAACCTAGTTAACGCTCCTGTTTCTCAACTGTAGAAAAAATCCGACAGCACGACTGCTCCTCTCTCCAAAATCCCGATTCGGTCTTCAGAGTCCGGTTCTTCGATACCCTGTATTCCAGCTTACCGCAGGTCGCACTCGTTTCTGCAGCTCTCCGTTTAATTGTGACTGATAATAGCCTTGTTTTATGTCACGCAAGATTAGATCATTCTGCACTTATATATCATCCATCAAGATTAATTGTGATGCCTCGATTATACTCCTGTTTAGGACTGCATAGGACGTGCATCTCCGTCGCTTCCGACAGCTAGTCCGAAATTGCGCGTTATTGGATTGTTTTAGCGCCATGACCCTAGAAATTTCGTTGCGAACGGCAACACGTCAATAAGTTGAAAAGTTGCGTTGCCGAGGTACAACCACGGAGACATACTGAAGGATGAAAACAAAGAAAGAGAGAAGGGAGGCCAACCATCATCATTATCATCATACACGTTAGCTAGAGGTGGGAAATACCTCAGCTACTGTGCCGCAATATATAAAAGAAAGAAAAAAAGACGTAACAAGTGCATGCCAGCTGAGCTACCGGTAATGGATGGGTATCGTTCCGGAAAGCTACCAGCCAGCTTCTATGCAACCAAAGAATTTTATCATGCAAACTTATGTTATGCAAAGAAATGCGCTCGTGGTTGGAGGGGAGGCCAAGATTGATGAGGAGAGACAGAAACTCACAGCACGAACTTCATTCAGCTCGGCTCCTAACCAAATCCGCGAGTGTATCTAACCAAACGCGTTCCTCGTCCTTCGGACCCTAACCAGGGAGCCCAGACGCTCCAACTGAGGCCAGCTTCGAAGTGAGGGCCTTCATTCCTCTCGACTAAGTCATCGCTTGGCCACCCCTCCTCTTCTTCTAATGACACTCCCGGGGCGCAAGCAACGCGCGTCGCGGAAGCCGGTGGGCTGGCATGTGTAACACGTGGCTGAGCCATCGTAGCCTGGTGCGTGAAATAACTGTGCTGAGCGGTTCATTTACTTTTCCTGTGCCGTAAACAAGGCGTCGAACACGCTCGTTGATCACGCGGTGTTCCCACCAAACATGAGCTAAGCTGCGAAGGCAGCGGCTGATCTAAGGGGCCAGGTTTCACAGCCGTACAGTAGAGTCGAGGGTACCGCCGCATTGGACACTCTACCCTTCAGAGCGTGAGTGATGTCGCTTCTGCGCCATAGGTGGCAAAGATTAGCAAAAGCGTCTCGAGATATTGCTGTATGGTTCTTGAACTCATTTCAATCCCAAGAGCGCTGATACAACTTCCTAAGTAGTTGAATTTTTGAGCGACTTCCAGCTGATCCTCAGCAGTGGTCAGCGCAATAGGCGGTCCATGGCAATCTTGGAGGAAAGCTTTGCACTTCGAGAATGCAAAGCAAAGCCCGAAGCGGCTGCCAGCCATTGCTAATAGGGTGGTCGGCCGTAAATTATTGATGCCCTGAGCGATCGTCCACAGTCAAGACGCTCATACCTTGGACACAGCATACAGTTACAAACTGCTGGCTATTGTGTAAAGATAGAGCGGAATCGATAAGGCACTTTACTTGCGGATTTCACTGCACCACGTCAAAATCAGCCATTATCCCACAGATAGCTTAGCACCATACACATTTTAAACAGACAATTCGAATAGGATACGACAGCAGATACGTCAAAAATCCAGATTGCGAGCCATGTCCTGTAACTTCTCCAGCCATGCATAACGCGGTTTACATGGACGCCAGCCTGGAAGTCGAGATGGATTAACCGCAGCCAGTTTAGCCCTTAGTGACCAGTATACCCTGCCAAGACAACTTTTGCCCATCTCGAGCTTTGCGCCATCCTACATCCTGCGAACAAACAAGGTCCTCATCGGCGAGCAGCGACCAGGCATTCGTAGTATGTGCAAGAATCAACACAACCTATTCAATGCCTTTGTTATTCTAAGAAAGTAAGCTGGTTATTATCCCATAATGCCCACCTGGGCATATCATTGCTGCGGACAGGCTGGTGATATCCGACAGAAAAAAGTGCTCCGTAGGCAACGATGATGGCAGACTTGTAAACGCCTCAGATCTTTAAACCGAAGGGGTCAAGTCTCACTAGCGTTGTCCGTGTATAGGAACACAACGGTCTATTAAACGCAAACATCCAAAGGTTTAGTTCTGTAATTTACTGCACTGCCTAAGAGAGCACAATGAGCTTAGTGGAGTAAAAGTGTCGGTATTCTGTTTCAGACCATTTCACGATCAGTGAGTCTACGTTTATATCGCTTCCGTTTTGTTTCCAGCAAACCTGCGGGTTGGCAAATTGTGCATCCTATCCTTACGGAACAACCGTTTGTGCCCTGTTTATTTCAATTTTCAGTAATTCTGCCTTGCGATATGAATGGAAACGTCTGAGTGACGATGGGACACTCATATCATTGGACAAAGAACCGGATCAAGCTCCGTGCATTCGCGCTGCTGCTGTCTGCGATGAGGGACATCATCACATGTGGAATCCCTGGTTTACCATACGGTCTGAAAACGGGTGCCTGGGGGCACATCTAACGACGGAATTTGAGATCATATGCAGACCTATTAAAGTAGGTTACCTTGACTCGCATTAGCCAAGTCGGGTCACGTGATTGAGCACAAAAGTTGACTTCGGTCAACTGGTAGGTTAAGTTGACCAGAAACAAACAATACTTTTCTTTTTTATAATGAATACAACTTATCTCCATCACTTTTTGTGCTTCTGCCTCTCCGAAGGTCGGTGAACATCGGGCAAAGTTCTGCCTTGTCCTGCTTTCTGTCCCTCAACTAACACATGGTTCTGGGGAGCGGATCACAGCCGATTTGATTCCTATCGAGCTGGAACTTCGTGTGGAAGTGGTGCCTCTTCCTCTAGTCCTCCTGCCAGCGGTCCTCGTCTTCCCAGGCAAATGCTGCATCGGAACTCCTATACAACAAAGCGTCAAGGTGAGCCAGTCATTGCAAAGTTGTCTTTTAAGTAAGTTTCTTTTCACTCCGTTCATTCGAAATAGACGAATTAGCTCGCTTAAATTAATAGGGTTTTTCTACTGCTAACTATCGATGGGCAATAGGATAGTAACCAAATTTATTCTTCGTACCTCACCATAAAACTAATAGCAACGCGCTCACATACACAAGAACCGGCTGTGAAAGAGATTAACACCAATTAACAAAATATGACGAGGTTGCAATAATCACTGTATACAAATGATTCCTAGAGGCTTTCTGCAAATGCGCGCCTCGCTGTTACAAGTCGCTTGTAAAAACCACTATACGAAAATGAGAGCACAAGAGTTCATTCGTAGTATCGGCGCCGCGATTGTGTTGTAATAATAAATCTCATCTTGGGCCGCGATTTACTTGAAAATTAATTTGATCATTCCGTTCAATAAGAACGCATCCGACGTTCAGACACATTGGCTCTCACTGTTACACACCGCGGCTTGTTCCACCCTTGTTCGAACTCTCCGGATAGAGTTAACGGAAGCCGTAGGTGGAAAGCGAAACGTGGATGTCGATGACTGAAGCTTTCATCAAATCAAGAAAAATACCATGCCCCTACTAGAAAGAGGTATCTTCATCACTAAGACAGTGATTCCTGCATAAACCTTTCGTCGCAACCGTTAATAATTAAATGTTGGTTTCTAAGTACCTTTTCGATTATAAGCGTTTCCTGTTTACTTAGCACTTATCCTACTAATAATCCTAATTTAACCGAAAAAACGTAGACGTCAGTCGCAACCCATTCTTTGGCTGTGATGGATCAATGATCAACCGCTCGCACACCACTGTAGGTCCACCAAGCTAAGCAAATTGACTTAGTTTCTCTTGTTTCTCGGAAGCATGAGACAAAGACCTAGCAACAGACTGACATTTCCCCAACAACACCTTGTGTGTTGCAGGAACAAAGCGCAGCTCAAAAGATGACCGTGTTACAGAGAGTTGTCCCAGAGTGCCCACACCACATCACGCGCGTTAGGCAAACAGAGACGTCGCCAGTGTAAGCCAAGTAACCAGTTTTCTACTAAGCAAGCTTTATACCTGTATGGTGATTCCCTAACAGAGGACACTCTATGGCAGAATGGGCAGAAATTGGGTAGAGCTGTGGTAGCGCGAAAGCTCTGGTTAAGGCAACTTCTGTTCGAAAAGCCATTTGATAGATCTTGAAGTAAAATGACGCGATGCGCGTGGTTGGTCCCCTCGAAGTGAACAGATGGAAGGTTTATGACGGATATAAAAAGCATTGGATTAATATGTCCCGTAAATTGGTAATAGCAAAAATTGCAAACTCGAATATTACATAAGTGGGCCAAAGAAAATGCGCATCAATATAACGATGGAGTAAGTACGTCAGTAAATAAGGTTGTGGGAATGAGATGAATTATGCAAAACGGAATGACAAGTTATTATGGGCAATGCTTAAGGCAAATAAATAGGGAATTGCTCGACCTTTTGCACAGATGTACGTGCGCCACAGTGGGTTACAGTTCCAAGGAAACTGCTAAGCCTGAATATGCCCCAGAATATCAGTTCAACTAACAAGGTGTATGAATCTCAGTGCGATATCCAACTCGTTTTTGAAAATGGCTAAGTTTGGGGCACATAAAATTTAGTTTGGAAGATCGTTCCAGAGTTGGCAGACTTGGAGGGAGAAATAGGTTCGTCGGCAATCTAAATGGCTGTATTGTTGACTTAGTTTCAGGTGACTAACTGTCAGGTTGGTGTTCAGACTGAGTTTTAAAAGGTGGCGGTGTACGTGACTAGGGTCGATCAGTAATTGGTATACCATGATGAGGTCTTCACGCAGCCGGCGGTGGTTTTCACGGCACACTCCGTGCTTTCCAGTCTTTATTGCCACTGGAGGTTGCGCAAACAATTGATATTTTTATTTTTTTAACCCTGGGGGATTTCGAGCGCTGCGTGCTTATGCATTTGCCAAGCTTGACGTGCCCAGATAACGTACTAGAGGTTGGTACGTACGTGGGAATCGAGTATCAGAGGAAAGATGGTTGAATTCAAACCCCGCGTGCCATCTGCAACAGACCAACATCATCATCATCATCGTTATACACGTTAGCTACAGGTGAAACACACCTCAACTATTGTGTCGCAATAAAAAAGAAAAGAGAAACTTGAGACCGAGGCACGCCGGCCGAGTCGCCAGTAAAGGATGGGTATCGTTCGAAATAGCTAATAGCCGGCTACTGTGTGGTAAAAAAACTTATATTATGCCTAGTAATTGAGACCCAGGTTAGATGGAGAGGCTAAACTGGAGGGGAGGGACAAAAACTCACAACACGAACGCCCTTGAGGTCAGCTTCTAGCCATGTCAACAAGTGTATCGATCCAAACCTGTTCACCGTCCTTAGAACCCCAGTCAGGAAGTCGGGATACACCAAACCACGCCAACTTTGAAGTGAGGATTTTCATCTCTCTTGACCGAGTCATCGCTTGGCCTCCCTCCTCCTCTTCCAACTTCATCCCCGGTGCACAAACATTGCACGTCGCGGGAGTCGGTGTGCTGACATGCGCAACACGTGTCCCAGCCATCGGAGCCTGGTGCGAGACGTCATGGTGTTGAGCGGTTCACTCGCTCTTGCTGCACTGAATACGCGACGCCGAACACGCTCATTGCTCACGCAGTGCTTCCACCAGACATGAGCTAGACTGCGGAAACAGCGATGGTCGAACATGGCTAGCCTCTCTATGTCTGTCGACCTGATGGGTCAAGTTTCACAACCGTATAAGGTTGCGCAAACCATTGATATTTTTCGTTTCTCGACCTTGGGAGATCTCGAGCGCTGAGTGGTTACGCATTTGCCAAGCTTACCACGCCCAGGTAACATATTCGACGTGGAAATGCACGTGGGCGTCGAGCATCCAACATGTTCAAAGTTGGATTTGTAGTATCGGCTGTGTGCTTGGGTTGCCACACTCAATCTCTATTCAAAGCTCAGTTCACTGAAGCAAATTTCGGTCATTACGATCACAAGGACCGTATCTGAATTGAAGGCGATTCGGAGGCTTCGGTTGGAGGATCAACATTGAACCACCAATCCTGACCAACACGCTGGTTAAGTCTTTCTGAAACGGACTAGGACTGTTTGAAACAACCGAGGTCCTCCTGCGCCAAGCCGAGCTCACGTTGGTGAGTGGTGCTCATCAGATCCTGCGCTGCGAGCTTAGAGATGTAGGCGTGTCGATGGCGGATGCAGACAACGCAGCACTTGTCCACATAGAATGGCAGTGGGTTCCTCACCGACCAATGCCAGGCTTCAACGAGTTCGCGCTAGAGGATCTCGTGGTCTCTATCGCTTGATCGTCCGCAAAGAGTAGAAACTTTGAGATGTTAATTTTCGCTAGATGGTTAGTTAAAATGAAGAATCTGTGAGGCCTAATTACTGGACCATTCGGTACACAGTAAGCCACTCGAATCGGATCGGATAAAAATGTTCTGAATCTAAACTCCATTTGCCGTTCGAAGAGAAATTTACCGATCCGTCCCAATACTAGATCTCAGAAGCCGGGGTGCTGAAGTTAGAAGTTGGCCGCTTCTCTCGCTGTATGTGTATATACACCAACCGTAGTGGGTGGTGGGATTCTGCACTACGCCTTACGAAGTCTAGTGACGTGTTGGTAGATGCTTGTGAATCGTTTCGCCAGCTCCTGTTGCTGTTTGAAGTTATCTTCACGCACCAACTGCATACAGTAGTTGCTTTAAATTAAATACGCTGTTCAGTTTTCTGTGCTGCAGGAGCTTTTTAAAAGTATCATGTCCTGGCTCTCAAAGTCATCTATTTTCGTGTTCTGCTTCTCCTAAGGGACTTGGGTTTGAGAGGATGATGATAAACTTTTGACTCTGTGGCGTTTGCGGCTAGTGAGGCGACTGTATTCAAGAATCTTTCTAGCCTATCTCTGTGGTGCAGGCAGTCAAGAACCTTCAACTAAAGTTTTCAAAGAATGCGGACAATAGGTGGTAATGCATAGTAGATCACATTTTTTCGGGATCCCCATCAGTATATTCAGCATAGCAAATGTAGTCGAACGGCAGTGGTACGTGATCCCTTCGGGCCAAAGGACTTCACACCTTAGCACATCAACCATAAGCTCCTCGCTGGTGAATATATTTAAGATAGACGATTTATTAGCTGATCTGAACCTAGTGGGAGAGTTGGTGTAATTGCATAAGCATGTACTGCAGATTATCTCCAGCAGGGTGACTTTGTACTGTTCATTCTCGGCTGCTTGTATTTCTATAAAACGGCTATTGAATTTTCCTATAATGAGGAAATTTGCTGTATTTCAGTATAAATACCACGAAAAGCCAATTTTAGTCAACGTTCCGTTTCCTGTGTGGAGTTGCTGATTGGTATACCTACATCCGGCACATGTTGTCGTCTTTCAACCATAGTTTGCACCACGCTTTTGAAGATCGCGTATGAGTCTACAGCGTAGGTGTGTCGCTACTAAATGATCACTCCCCTCAACTACCCGTTCTGTGGTTCCCGAGAAGTGACATACCTGGTGGATTGAACTCAATGTCGATAATCTCATTATATATATATATATATATATATATATATATATATATATATATATATATATATATATATTCTGGTTACATACAGTGTGTACTCAGAACCATGACAGAACATGAAGAAAAAACGGAATACATTAGCAGATGAAAAGAAAGTTATTTGGGCTTCACACACCCAATTTGGAGGGTTTTTGAGTTTTTGTGTTTGATATGGGAGTAACTAATAGATGAAGCCCGCAACTCAGCACTGTCGCCTCTGGTGTCTGTTGTGGGACACACATCCAGCATTTCCAACCACAAGGAGTCAGAGCTGCGTGGTCCGTCTTCTTGGAAGACGGACCAGTCCCAAAGGGTGGTAAGGTTGAGGTTGTTTTCATACGCTCTTCTTCGTATCATCTGTTGTCTCCGCGGCACTTTTATCAATCTCTTCTTTGAAGCCTACATAACGCTCAACGAGAATGGCCATATACTGGCAAGAGCAGTACGTGACCGAGCCAAAGCATATCGTGTCGGAGAAAAACGTTTTTGAGACAGAGGATGTTCGCTCCAACCATTCGGTCTCGAACTTCAGTGTTGATTGTGTGACCTTGCCACCACGCGCGAACAATCTTACGCAGACAACGACTGGCAACAACTAACAATCGTTTCAGGTCTTCCGAGAAAACAGACCAGGTCTCACAAACGTGCAAAAGAACCACACGGACAGAGGCATTGTACACTCGGTCCTTGAGTTTCAGATTGTCGTCACGAGGTGGCCATATTGTCTCAGTCGGATGAACGTAAGGCGCGCTTTTGCGATCCGCGCAGACTTCATCTCCATCACCGCCACCAGTCGTGATGCAAGTCCTTGAATAATTGAATCAGGTGGCTCGTTCCAGGACCTCATCAGAAATGAGGAAGCAGGTACAGGCACATGCCAATTCTGCATACTGTTTTAACATTTGCACGGAAAGAAATATAGGCCATACTTAGACAAATACATCGGTAAGCGGTTCAAAGTACTGTGGACTGTCTGTAGATCATCATCCTCATTATTATACACATTAGCTAGAGGTGTGCAACACCTCAATTACTGTGCCGCAACACATAGAAGAAAATAGGGGAGAAAAATGCAACAGTTGCAAGCCAGCTGAGCTACCGGTAACGGATTGGCATCGTTCCGGTAAGCTACCTGCCGGCTACAGTGCACCAAAAAAATTATTATGCAAAATTATATAAGGCTAGATAGTGAGATCGTGGTTGGAGGGGAGGCTAAGAGGGATGGGTGGGACAAAGAAACTCACAGCACAAACTTCATTCAGGTCGGCTGCTAACCATATCAGCAAGTGTATCCAGGCAGACGTGTTCATCTTCTTTCGGACCCCAACCAGGAAGCCGAGATGCTCCAACCGAGGCCAGCTTCGAAGTGAGGACATTCATTCCTCTGGACTAAGTCATCGCTTTGCCACCCTTTTTCTTTCATCCACACCCCAGACGCGCAAACAACGCACATCCAGGGAGTCGGTGGACTGACGCGCGTAACACGTGGCCGAGCCATCGGAGCCTAATGCGTCAAACAACTGTGCTGAGCGCTTCCTTTCCTTTTCTTATACCGTAAACAGGACATCGAACACGCTCGTTGCTTACTCGGTGTTCCCACCAGATGTGGGCTAAATTGCGAAGGCACCGGTGGTCGACCGTAACGAGCCTCTTTAGGTCCGCTGCTTTAAGCGGCCAGGTTTCGCAACCGTACAGTAGGGTCGAACGTACCGCTGCATTGTACACTCTACCCTTCAGGGCAAGAGTGATGTCGCGCCGGCGCCATAAGTGGCGAAATTTAGCAAAAGCGCCTCGAGCTTTTGCTATACGGTTCGTGATCTCATCTTCAATCCCAAGGACGCTGATACAACTTCCCAGGTAGTTGAATTTTTGAACGACTTCTAGCTGATCCCCACCAACGGTCAGCGTAGGAGGCGGTCCCTGCCAAGCTTGGAAAAACGCTTTGCACTTCGAGGGTGCGAAGCAAAGCCCGAAGTGACAGGCAGCCAGTGTTAATCTATGCAGTGCCACTTGGCACGTTTGGGAGCTGTCACCGATTGGGGCAATGTCATCAGCATACTCTAAGTCAAACAGTCCTTCTCCTGGAAGTAGCTCCATACCTTCTAAGTCATGTCCTGTAAATGCAATCTCCATGACTTCGTCAACAGCGAAGTTGAAGAGGAGAGGTGACAGCTGGCATCCTTGTCTCACACCGCTGGACATATTAACGGGCGACGACAGCTTACCGTAAGCCCTCACTCTGCCCAAGCTACTCGCTTATAATGCTCCGATAATATTCACATATTTCTCAGGTACACCTTTCCTGAGTAGACAGTCTCAAAGGGCACTTCGATCAATCGAATCGAAGGTAGCTGTGATATCGAGGAACACGACAACGTTGGGACGCCAATATATGTGACGGTGCTCCTACAACTGACGCAAAGTGAAGATGTGGTCAATGCAGCCACGACCTCGATGAAACCCGGCTTGCTTTTCACTAATATGACTTTCACGAGTGCCAGTCAATCTGTGAAGGATGACAGTTGCTATCAGTTTTGA